AAGAGAACAACATTGTAGAAGAGAGAGCATGACTCGGAGGACTGAAGATTTGAAAGACGGAAGCCTGTGCCTTTCTTCATTACTGAGCTACGGTGTGTCCTGGGGCCATCCCTCAGCCGTCTGTGGATCTCTTTCTGTACCCAGAGAAAGAGTATGAGAGACAGAGGAGTTTTAGTTAGTCACAGGGGCTTTTCTTATGGATTAAGTAATGAATGTGATTAATGATAATGTGGAGAATTCCCAGGTACCCACCTTAGCTCCTCTGTAGCTAATTTTCAATTCTGTGTTGATTTCCTTCAATAACTCCCATCCCGACCCAGATGGTATCTATTTAGGAAATTCAAGAAGCTGATAACATTAGCATAAGCAGAGCAAACTGGGAAATAAGTCAGCACAAAGAAATGCTCAAATGCAGCAGAAGAGTGAATACAAAGGACTTCAGGATTTTCTAGGCCACGGACTCATTAAATCATTCAGCAAATATTTGCTAAGTAGGAAATTCAAGAAGCTGATAACATTAGCATAAGCAGAGCAAACTGGGAAATAAGTCAGCACAAAGAAATGCTCAAATGCAGCAGAAGAGTGAATATAAAGGACTTCAGGATTTTCTAGGCCACGGACTCATTAAATCATTCAGCAAATATTTGCTAAGCCCCTACACAGTGCTGGGTGCTGGGACATCCCTGTGAGATGAGCTTGGTCTCTCCCTCTTGAGGCTCACTGTCAAAAATGAGCAACTGTGCAAACAGGCTGGGACTCCGGAGCCCAGCGGAGGGAGCACCCCAGTTCCCACAGACGTCAGCAGCTGAGAGTGGTTTAGCTGCAGACACCCCTCTTCTGATGCAACTGAAGATCCTTAGAGACATTCGTCTCTAGTCTTTACTCCCTGTGTAGGACGGTGCGTCCATTGGACAGAGCACACTGCTTATATTCCTGATGCCAACGCTGAGGTGCTGGCAAGGTCAACAGTCAGTTCCATGAGGACCGGGCTGCTCTGTCTCCTGCCCCGCATGCCCCCCATGGGAGGGTGGCATTTGCCTATAATGGGTGCTCAGTGACCATTTGCTGAATAAATTTGATCCCCAAAATCAGCCATAGAGGGAAGGCATCATTGCAATTATTGCCACGATCATCGTCATTCTCGTTTTGCAAACGAGGAAGGTGAGGTTCAGAGAGGGGAGGTCGGTCCAGGGACACACAGCTAGAGAAGGGTGGAACCAGGGCCCCAGCGGTGGCCTGTGCCTCCCTGCCCTGTGCTCTCCTGCCCCTGCAGAGCAACCCTTGGGTACTTACTCAGGGGCGTGGGTGGCGCGTGCCTGGAAGCAAGGGGAAATGGAAGTCTCCAGTCTTGCTGGGAACCTAAATGGCATGTGCTGTCCCAGAAACTCTGGAAAGTGGGAGTCAGCCTGACCCACGCCGACTCCTAACCTCTGCTCTTTGCTCTCTGTGTGACCGGGCGAGCCACCTGGTCTGCCTGGGACTCGGTTTCCTCATCTGCAAAACCGATCATAGCACCTGCACTGTGGTCTGTAGTGAGAAGCTAACGTGACAGCGAGGATGTCTGGTGTTCGTTGTCAATCCACAGTACTTTATGTTATTATTATCACTTTAACGTCTTTACTGTGCCACTACCATTTACCTGAAAACAAATTTCTAAATTGCAGGGCATGTTGCAATAAGTAAGGGATCTTCGAGGTTATTCAGAGAATTGGAGTCTATGCT